GTAAGTTGTTATATAAGCACTATAAGCACTATACATGCAAATTACCCTCCCCAAAATCAAGATAGACCCTCCTGAACAGGGGGTTGGAAATTACTTTCCACTAAAAAATTGTCTATGTTCTATGTTCAGGGTCTGGATGGTAAACCATGCTTAACCCATATTTCTGGGCTAAATAAATAGTTTTATATAAATAGTTTTCCACTAGGAAAACCCTTCATTTGGCTGAATTTTTTTGGAGGGTACCTAGAAATTCTCCGAGTAAGTGTTTCATAATCCATATAAAAGCCATGTAATCCGTATATAACTGTTTTTTTTTTTGCCACTGAGTGGGATGCACACCCAGCAATTTGCCAAACTGAACTGCTCAACCATTTTTCGCCAGAACTGCTTTGCAGATCCTGGCTGGCTTCAGTGGGGGCACCTCAGATCCCCGCTTCGTGCAGCACTTCGCGCAGGGCGGGCATGATTGGGACGTTGAGTCGCCGAGTCACCTGATGTTCCCTTTGGTTTATCCATCAGAACTAGGGAATCTACTGGGAATAGCTAGAGTTTATGGTAGATATTGATACTTATTTATATGTATATGTATATATAATTATATATATATACATAAATGTGTATATATATATATATATACATATTCTTCATGTTTGATCAAATTTAATCCTTATCATATCCCTTAAAAATCCAGCCATCTCCCGGCTCCAGCGATGAACCGATGGTTCACCGCGAAGCGAGGCCTCAAACCATCTTCCCACAGAACTTTCTCCTGGGCAAGGATCCCACCAAGTGCTGCCCTCGAGACCCGGTGCCGTATATGACAAAATATATATAGCATAAATTGTATTAATGTATACGTTATGTATTTAACATGTATTATTTTGGCAATATGGCATTTTGTGTGTATATATAATTATATATATATGTAATATAATTATATATACATATATATATATATATATTATGTATATATATATATACATATTATACTTATGAGTGCATAGTATACACTACATGTATACAATAAAACATATACATACAATGGCATGATTTTAGATCTTCTAAGTCTGTCTGAACATAGGGAATAGAACCACCCCATTTCTCAGCTAAGCAGCCTCAAACTTGGCCGGGACCGTCACTGGATTGAATCTATCCTCGGGTAATCACATAGCGATAGCCCCGAAGTAAATGGGGTGTCCACAAATGGGGATGCCCCAATAGCTGGATGGTTTACAAGGGAAAATCCCAATCTATAAATCTGGGTAAATTATAACGACCTCACTGCGACCTCACTGCGACCTCACTGGAAATCATGGTTAGTAAGAAGAATCATCCCCAAATGGCCTTAATTCAGGTTAGTGAAATATTATAATTTACCCAGAATGGATGATAACTAGGGGTACCCCCTCCACTTAGGAAACCTCCAAAAATGGGAGGTTTTTCCACCAGCCATTGCCAGCTTGGATTTTGAGGGTAGCCTCCACAGTAACCTGGGATGAGTTCAGGGTCGTTGTTTCAATACTACCCTCTGGTAATGACTAACAGTTTGCGAACTTGAAAATGGCCCAGTCGAAAGATTTGATTTTCCCATAAAACTATGGAACATGGCCCATTTATGGTTGATTTTCCCAGCTACAAAATGGTGGATCTTTCCATAGTTTTTTGTAAACCTTTACCAGAGGGTAAGTCACGGTCCAAGACTTGGATACCCTGACTGACTGGAAAAAATTGGACACCTCCAAATGACCGGGGTAAGATTGGAAAAATAGACAAAACTATGTCGCTAGAGAACGCTTCAACTGGTGGAAAAAAATCGCAGTTCCGTGTAGTTCCAAAACGCCTGATATTCATGAATTGTCCTCCGTATCAATAGACTTCCCAGAGATCTGTTTCGCATTTTTTTCATGGTCAACCCATTGCCATTTGCACCATCCCCAAGTCATCACCATGTTGATGGGTGCTATGTTTATCATCCCCAGTCACGCTAGTTGCTTGTGGTAGCCAGGGTGATCACATGAAAAAACTGCTTGGGCAGGCACAATTGGATGACTCATAGATAGACAGATCGATGAATATAATGTTTTTCGATAAACACATGTATATATTGAATTATATATAGATATGATACAGATCTAATGATGAAATTATATATATATATTATTATATATTTGTATACAATTTATGTAGATACTATATGATACTATGTGGTAGTATATATATATATACACATAGAGGATGACCTTCGACCGAATCTCTCCGTGAAAAGTTTTACGGCTCAAGTCTCACCATCGCGTAGTTCGACATGAGCCAATTCGCCTTCGAACAGTGAGGCCGCGGAGGGAAGTTTAGCCTGCGAAAATGATCTAGCCTCTGGTAAACCGTTAACAAAAAACTATGGAAAATCACCATTTTTAATGGGAAAACTCACTATAAATGGCAATTTTCAATAGCAAAACGTTAGTTTACCAGAGGGTAGAAAATGTCCTGATTTTTGATCGAAGGTATGGATTTATCTAATTATCTAATAGATGATCTACTAATTGATCTGGGTATATTTCATAACGACCGAACACTGTTCTCCCGAAGCCTGGAATCATGGTTAATAAATGTTAATAAGGGAAACCATCCCCAAGATAGCCTTAATTCAGGTTAGTGAATTATTATAATTTACCAAGATTGATGGTGGGTAAACTCCACATCTTTGTTAGTTCGTTTACAGGAGGGTTTTTTTGTTCATCAAGCATAATGGGGACACATATTATAGCATTTGTCAATATAGCTATGGAAGCCATGGCCCATTTAGTTCGGTGATTTGTCCGTAAAAGATAAATTGATTTTCCATAATGGGATAGACCAGCAACAATCGAACTTGTGTCTAAAACATCTAGGAGTTGCTTCCATTTTACAATTACACCTGGGAAAAATGATCATGAAACGAGGAGAAATGGGGAGTAGCCTCCCTTCCCCCGTTCATATTATATAAACATTCTTAAAGACCCTCATTGTATGGTCGCGAACATGTGAAAACTCATCCCCATCCACCAGAAAACTACCGAAATTCTGCGCAAGTCCATGCCATAGACGTCGTTTTTTTTTGGTAACACGGATGGGTTTTTACAGCATTGATCCCTCCCAGCCACTTGAATCACACACAACTCGTCTGGCGACAGCCGAGAGTTGTGAAGAAATTGTGGCGACCATCCCCAACATCAAAAAAAAACCAGCCTCCAGTATGATTACCCTCTGGTTAATGATGATGAATGGTTAATAATGGTTAAACAAAATGATGGTTAATGATGGTTATATTGAGATACACTCTGGTTATTTGTTACATAGCCATGGTTTTTCGATGGCCCTAATCGAAATATATGCTTTACCGTTCTTAATAGCATGGTGGATCTTTCCATGGCTATGTTAAATAACCAGATGGTGATTATCATTGAACATAGCTATGAAAATTCCTGCACAGTGGCCCATGTATACTAGGTCAATCTTGGATGGGTAGAAACTAATCCGCTATAGTCTTTTGGTATCTTTTGGTATCAATGGGATTTTCTACGTTCAGCAGCTAAGAATTTTTTTTTTTTTGCAGGGTATCTGAGATTGTCCATGAATATATGATAATATATGATTTACCCCAAAAATGATGATTTTCCAGCTGGCTATGTTTTTCATTGCCAGAGAGTAAGCAACACAAATATTAGCGGATCATTCATTGTCAGAGAACTAACAAATGAGGCGTACCCTCTGGTTATGACTAACATAGCCATGGAAAATGGTCTTATACTGTAGATGGTTTACCCATTAAAAATGGTGATTTTCCATGGTGAACTGTTAGTCATAACCAGATGGTAGGAAAAATGGCGTGTCATTTACTCCCCCCCCCGGTTCCAACGGGGGTGGGCCTGGAAGAGGCTACTTTCGGGGATGGTTTCTCACAGCAGGGGATTTTTCAAGTTGAACGACCGGCTCCCGGAAAATCCCCATGGAAAATCCGGCATGGAAAATCCCCAAGAAATGATGAAACATGGAGGGTTTTAACTAGTTTTAACGGTTAAAATGTTGAGAAAATCATCTAACCATTGTGTTCTTTTTCTGAAAAGCCAAGTTTTAAGTTGAACGAACTTATGCAATTTGCTGCCCGTGGACCCACAGCAAGAAATGACAGGTTTTGAAATTGAAAAGATTCTTCGTTTACCCACGCTTCACTGGATTATTCCGTTGATCCTATCCTATCTGGTTGATGGTTTGAAACATTTTATATTTTTCCATATTATATTGGGAACAATAATCCCATTTCACTAATATTTTTCAGAGGGGTTGAAACCACCAACCAGTAAAGTTGGATGAAAGTTTGTCACTATTACCCTCTGGTAAGCTAACAGTTTGCTATTGAACATGGCCCATAGAAATAGTTTATTTATCCATTAATGGTGATTTTCAATAGCTAAATCTTAGTCATTACCAGAGGGTATGGGGAAGGAAATCCAACCATGGGCCTCTCATTTTCCAGCAATTTTCCATTCCATTCACGAAGGGTATGATGTTATCCCCTGACATGAGTTTCTTTGAAAACATGGTACCCCCAGATCCACATATATATATATATTTAATCACATAGATATCATAGATCATCGTCCCATCAAAATATGTTTTGAACACATGAGGTACCCTCTGGTAAACGTTAACAAAAAACTATGGAACGATCACCATTTTGTCATGGGAAAGCTCACTATTTCGACTGGGCCATTTTCAATAGCTATATACATCAATTTTTGCATCATTTCCTGACAACGAAAAATACGAAGTATCTCATGAAATTCATCGGTTCAAACTATCCCCTCTGGTATCAATGCAGTTGTTTTCATCGTGTTTTTTCATGCTTTTCATGGTATAATTATAATCCCAAATTTGGTTTTCAAAACCATGGTATATCCCAAATTTGCTATTCATGGTAATATTTCATGGTATATCCCAAAAATGGTGTAAAACCACACTTCATGTTTTTTCCATGGTTTTGTTCACTTTTTGTTGTTATCACAGGCGGCCGATGCAAGCTGCTGCTGGAGGGCGCTCCGTTTCGTGTGTGCTCGGCAGACGAGGTGCGTGCGTGGGAGGAGACACGCAGCGCGAAGGTCCAACGGGCATTGGAAGCCAAAGAGCGACGCCTGACTTGCGCCATTTTCGTCGGCTGGGGAGGTGAGAAAATTGCGGTAAAGCCATGGGTTAAAAAGCATCCCCACTGGTTGGTGGTTTGGAACATGACTGGATTATGACTTTCCATTCAGTTGGGAATTTCATAATCCCTCAACTGACTTTCACTCCATGATTTTTCAGAGGGGTAGGGCTCAACCACCAAGCAGATTATTATTAACCATCATTAACCATATATTAACCATATATTAAGCATCCCCATGTTTTTCTCCATTTTTCGTGGGGATTCCAAACATCCAAACAATTTTTGTCACCCAATATTATTCAGTCATCCCCTGGATGGACTCAGTTGTGCTGTTCTTGATGTTGTTGAAATGGACAATTGTCATAAAATTGTAACCGTAATATATCTTAATAGGGACTTAATATGGGTTAATGGGACTTAATATGGGTTAATGGGACTTAATATATATTAACAGGGACTTAATATGGTTCTGCGACTGGTGGTTTCAAACATGGCTTTTGAATTTTCCCATTTCATATATGGGATATATAATCCTTCCCATTGACGAACTCCATCATTTTTCAAGATGGTTGAAACATGTTGAAACCACCAAGCAGATAAGCATGCAATCTTTACCAGCAAAGATTGACCATGCAAGTATTCGATTTTTCTTGGCCGCCCGTCCCAATGGACTATTCTCTTGCGACTCTTTCAGGGTTAGATTACCAACGATGCGCTTTGTTGAATTCAAATTTGGCGAATGGAGTTTTCCGAAGTGTAGGGGGTACCCCTATAGTTATCATCCATTTTTGATTTTCGGATTTTCCATGAAATAAACCATGAAATAAACCATCCAGCTATGTTTAGGTGCCCCCATGAAACTGGAAACCAACCCTCATGGAGTGGAGTTTTACCGGCGAATCCCAGCCAGGAAACTGTGGGGGAAATTTTCACTAGGAGAAATGGAGAAGTTCAGAGAAATTCATGTAGGATGGCCCCCCCAAGTGATGTTTGTTGGTTTATACAGCCCATTAACATCCATATATGTATATATATATATATATTATATATTAAGTATAGTTATATCTACCATAAACCATAGAAATCAGCCACTTATAAGACACCTGAACGCTATCGAACTGGCCGGATCCTTTTTCGTTTTAACTGGGCTTTATTTTATGGGATTCAGTGGCGGTGAGTGATGTCCACCTCGGAACAAAACAGAAAACTTCACCATTAGGGTTTATGACCTGACATTGGTGAATTATTACTATACGGCTACAATCCCTAAGGATCCATGGTGCTGGAATATTTACCAACCAGTTGGGATTATTTTGAAAATTACTGTAATGGGGTCAATGTAGGTAAATATTCCAGCACCATGGATCCTCTGGGATTACGGCTACAATTTTTCATGACTAACATGCTATCCTGATTTTATCCTGTATATCTAGAGTAGCTGACATATAAAGTTCTGTTTGTAGTGGGATCCTAGTGGGTTCACATTAGCCCAAAGTTCCAATTTTTCAATATGCCAAAGAGTTGCCTGAGCTCAGCAGATGGGGAGCCAGCTGGCATGCCTGGCAGAACTAGGAACTCGTGAACTCACAACGGGGATGTTCTACCCACCAACGGGGCGGCAAGGAAACATTCATGTTGTGAGAAGTCATGTATGTTAAAGAACAACTAACCACTTGGCATAGAGAAATAAAACGCAATTTCTATGCCAAAAGATCTAAAAGTTTCTATCAATCGATTTTCAGAAGCCCAGACTTCTGTCTTTGCTGATGCGTTTCGCGTTTCGGGAACGAGCGCGCTTTGTTTGGGCATCCCATGAGATCCGTGCGGTCATTGTTGATCCAATAAAAAATATCCATGAAGAAATCCCAGTAGAATCACAGGAACAACATCTTAATTTATGGTTTTTATTAAATCCCAATCGATCCCATGAGATTTTCTCCCACTACCATCACATGAAACATCCCAAGTTTCATCCTCAACTTGATGGTAAAATCCCCTTGAGAGTTGTGTATCAAATTGTTCGAGCCTCTAAGCAACAGTCCACAACAGACTTTCCCACGATTAGCGGGAGATCAAATGCTTACAGTATTCCTTGTCACATCTATACACATAGTCTATGTCCCATTGATATGGCATATGACATATCCCACTAATGCTTATATCAAAAATTGCTAGTGACACATCTATACTAAGTACATATCACTACATAAATGAATATCATATTATCATAGATTATCAATGATCATTTTGTTTGAATTGTATATAATCTAAAGTTGTTGTGGGTGCATTTGCACCCCTGGTACCGAGAATTGGATAGTCACCCAATTCGCAACGTTGGTTCAGATTAGTGTCACCTAAACTCTGGTCTTATCCTGTCGTTGTTTCGCAAGTGGTCGTGACGCCCGATTTGTGGGAGTCACATCCCCAAACATCCTCGTCTATGATCTTCCAGCCATCTCAGACATATCCAAACAGTCATTCCTTCCAATCCCAAGACATGATGTTTGTGAACTGCCATGAATTGCCCAGAATGTGTTGCGGCCTTTTCTCCCTACCTCTTGCGGTGTTTCAAGACGCGACGCGCAAGCGTCTTGTTGCCCAAGTCCCGAGCCAAGGAGAGCAGGCGAAGCAGCAGGATGACTGGATGAAGCTGGGCGGTGAAAACCATGACCAGCATCCCAATGCCATCATCCCACAGCCATGAAGCCATGACCATCATGGACCATGACTTTCAAAACGCCGTGACTTTCATTCCCCATGTGGCTTTCAGGTTTATCAAATGTTTATCATGTGGTGTCCTACATTGTTGCATTCAAGATGTCAGGAAATCATTCAAACAATGCGGATGACTTTGTAAAATCGTGTGATCTAGTGCGATTTTATCCAAGTAAGCCATGGCAAAAAACATGGCAAACATAGATGGCACTGAGTCCAACACCCCCAGTTGTGATAATTGTTGCCCTCAGCAACACAAAATGGGGTAGATTCACCTGTATGCGAGAATGAAGAAGTTAAGAAGTTGAACATTTTAGCCATGAAATTGATGCAAATGTTGGTTGTCTATTGTGGAATGAGCCATTCGGACATTTATCGATGGGGATGCCACGGCGGCTCCACTAGTGGCAGGAGAATTTCCCCAAGAAAAGGAGGTTTCTAGCTGGGATATCATAGCAAAATAGGAGCACAGTTCTGGACACATCTATGATACCCTCTGGTAAACGTTAACAAAAAACTATGGAACATCACCATTTTTCATGGGTAAATCCACTATAAGTCGCCATTTTCAATAGCGATTTTGACATAACCAGAGGGTATAAATGGAGGAAACCGAGCTGGGAGAATTTTCGAGCCACGAACTTGGCTACTGGAGGTAGGACCCGGTCTACAGACAATTGCTGGGACAAAAAAATGGTTCGGTAATTCCAAATTCCTAAGTTTAGGGGGTCTCTGGTAAGTTAACATAGCTGAAAATGACCATAGAAATAGTGGATTTTCCCATTAAACATGGTGATTTTCCATAGTTACCCCCAGTCATCATCTATTTATAGATGGATTGCCCATGATTTCCCCCCCCCCAAAAAAACATCCATTTTGGGATACCCCCATTTGTGGAAACTCCCATATAGGCCTATCGTTCATCATAAATGAGGGGGCACATACTACTTTAAGCCGAATCTCACTTCTTTGCAGGGTATCGAAGATGAAACATGTACAGTTCACAGATATGAATTTGCGATATACTGAACTCTTTATTATCCATGAAATACAGTTTCTCAAGTCTTACAAGTTGTTTGAAAGATCAGCATGAACAAAGTCTTGGTAAGTAGTTGGTAGGCGGCTGATAGAACGCCGCCTGCTTTTCTGCGTTTTTCTGTTTCTCCTCTACTTTTGGTCACGCTTTCTGGTTCTTTTTCTGGGGTGGGGTGGGGTGGGGTGGGGTATTAACGTCCTGTTCCGAGTGCGTGGAACATGCTCCTTTCTAAGACGCTCTTGATGTTACGCTGTGCACGGTTCCCTGGGGTGGGGTGGGGTATTAACGTCCTGTTCCGAGTGCGTGGAACATGCTCCTTTCTAAGACGCTCTTGATGTTACGCTGTGCACGGTTCCCTGGGGTGGGGTGGGGTGGGGTATTAACGTCCTGTTCCGAGTGCGTGGAACATGCTCCTTTCTAAGACGCTCTTGATGTTACGCTGTGCACGGTTCCCTGGGGTGGGGTGGGGTGGGGTATTAACGTCCTGTTCCGAGTGCGTGGAACATGCTCCTTTCTAAGACGCTCTTGATGTTACGCTCTGCACTTTTCTCTAAGAACTTTTGACACGCTCTTGATGTTACGCTCTGCGCTTTTCCCTAGGAACTTCTGACACGCTCTTGATGTTACGCTTTGCACTTTTCTCTAGGAACTTCTGACACGCTCTTGATGTTACGCTTTGCACTTTCCCCTAGGAACTTCTGACACGCTCTTGATGTTACGCTTTGCACTTTTCCCTAGGAACTTCTGACACGCTCTTGATGTTACGCTTTGCACTTTTCCCTAGGAACTTCTGACACGCTCTTGATGTTACGCTTTGCACTTTTCCCTAGGAACTTCTGACACGCTCTTGATGTTACGCTTTGCACTTTTCCCTAGGAACTTCTGACACGCTCTTGATGTTACGCTTTGCACTTTTCTCTAGGAACTTCTGGCACGCTCTTGATGTTACGCTTTGCACTTTTCCTTAGGAACTTCTGACACGCTCTTGATGTTACGCTTTGCACTTTTCCTTAGGAACTTCTGACACGCTCTTGATGTTACGCTTTGCACTTTTCTCTAGGAACTTCTGACACGCTCTTGCTGTTACGCTTTGCACTTTTCTCTAGGAACTTCCGACACGCTCTTGATATTACGCTTTGCACTTTTCCCTAGGAACTTCTGACACGCTCTTGATGTTACGCTTTGCACTTTTCTCTAGGAACTTCTGACACGCTCTTTCTGTTACGCTTTGCACTTTTCCCTAGGAACGTCTGACACGCTCTTGATAGGATTCTACTTCTTTTATTTTACCTATTTACCATTTTACTTATTAGTTTTACTATCTTATTTATATTACATAGCATTCTATGTCCCAGGTTTATGTAAGGGAAGCTTTGGTTCCAAGCTGCACCCTGAAATCGATACTTTGATCAAACAATGGTTGTGCAGAAATTCGGCACCTGGCGCCAATCCTATCGAAGTGTATCAAAATTTAACTCACGTCCTGCCAAGCTTGTGATAAAAAGAAATGAACACTTACACATAAAACATTGCAAAAACGAAGTAGTTTTTCGCAGGATTTGAAAGGGTCCAAAAAATGGACGAAAGCAAAAAACCCTGAGAAAACACAGGGAAAGTGAACTCGCAACAGTTGGAAAAACAGGCGGCGTTCTATCAGCCGCTTTCCAAGTAGTTTCAGAGTATATGTACGTATATATATATATTGTATATATGTAGTATGGGTTGACTCATGAATTATAGCCTATGAACTTTAAGTGATGATCATAAGTATTCCGAACATTATCTGGTTGGTGGTTTGGAACATGAATTTTATTTTTCCATATATTGGGAATTTCATAATCCCTTAACTGACTTTCACTCCATGATTTTTCAGAGGGGTAGGTCAACCACCAAGCAGATTATTATTATATAACCATCATTAACCATATAATAACCATCATCATTAACCATACGTATATTAACAGTATATTAACCACAATGGTACGTCAACCACCAACCAGATTTTTATTGACTCAAATCACTATTCTTAAGTTTGACAATCGCGAGTCCAATCAGCCAAGTCATCGGCCCCCAGAAACACAGCGACTGCTGCATGGAGGGTGAAATTTCCACAGATCGTGTCCAGAAAGGTACCATGAAAATCACCATGAATCACCATGAACTTCACCCAAGTGTCGTGGTAAATAAACCTTTGCTTGGGACTTTTTCTAAGTCGCGTTGTCGAATTTATGCATCATAGCTTTTTAGAATGAATAGAATGAATACTAAACAGTTACAATTGAATAATCCTGCAAATATACCACCATGCACGGAACGGTGGGGCCTCCTAGCTAATCTGGGGCAATAATTTGCTTGAAAAGTAGGATCAAGTAGGTGTACCCTCTGGGTATTTAACATAGCTATGGAAAATGGATCATTTGTAAAACCTTCATGATGATTTACCTCTTAAGAATGGTGAATTTCCACTTCGCTACGTGAAAAATCACCAGAGGGTATATTATATAATGTATATTCGATAGATCTAAACAATTCTACACAGTTATCTTCATACCTTTTGGTAAACTAACATAGCTATTGAAAATGGCCCAATCGAAATAGTTGATTTACCCATGGAAACATGGTGGATCTTTCCAGTTTGTTATGTGAGTTTACCAGAGGGAACATACTTTTTTTTTCATCCTGGGATATGGTGAACGGACAGGGGTCTTGGAGTCTTGGACTGCACTGCAAACTACGATTGTTACCAGCCCTCCCTTGGAACTTGCATTGAATTTGGGAGTGAATCAAGCACACGAGATTCTCCAAGCACATTCGTGCCTGCCTTTTGCAACCGACCGCCATCAAGTAACTCCATGCACTGAGCTGGTGCCGTCATCAGCAATTGTCGCAAGCGCATCACTGAGCCCCGAGAAGAAAGGGTTGTTGTTGCACATGCCAGCCCACGACCTGGTGGGGAGTTTCTTGTCAGTCATTCCACCACTGGAGCTGAAGGGGAAATGCCTGGATGGAGATGCGCCCAACCAGCTTTTTCAGCAGCTGCACCCAAAAAGCCCACATTGCATCAGCATCCGAATGCCCAAAGCTCCGTAGCAAGGTTGCACAGGACGCTTTTCTTGAAGGCACAGATCCGTCAAGAGCCAACTGTACCGACAACTGCCCCAGGACTGAATGAAGCCACTGAGGCCTGTGAACCGAAACCTGGCCCCACTGAGGTATGAGTCATGGATGGGGACATCCAAATTGTCAAGGGCCCCACCAAGCCACTTGACCTAGGTGAACAGCCACCATCGGAACCTACCACCAGGTACGCTGAGGGGGCAACCACAGGCGCATCGGAACCTATACGGTACAAAAAAATCACCTTTGTCAGAGGTAATTTTTTGGTGGCCGACCCTGCTGAGAGCCAATGCATTCGTACTTTGAACAAACAGCCAGCGGAGGAGACGCAAGTACTCCCCTCGTGCCCCTTCCCTTTTCATGCCAAGCCCGGTGACTTACCAACATCACCGGGCCCCGCCCATGTCACTGCACATACAAGTGCACCCCTTGCCAGGGAGCACTTTGGGAATGACCCCATCGCAGGTGAAGCGGGAGATGAGCTTGATCCCACAAGACGCAAGCGCTCTCCCCATGCCCATACCCTTTTCAGGCCATGCTGGGTGACTTCCAACCGCACTCGGCCCCCCCCTTTCTGGTAGGCATGTATGTGAGGACATCAGTGATTGCCAAGCCAAGAGATACCATAGATCTGCACCATCCAGATTAGACCTGCTTCAGCTAAAGAAGGCATGGGTCGCCCATGATGACTTGGACTGTGCTTCAAGGTTCCACCAAGCAAATCTGTTTCCCTTTTTGATGTTGCCAACATTGAATGGCCATTGTGAAGAATGGGCAAAACATGTACGGCATTGGGTCCACCAAGCATCCGTAGGAGTAGCTGAGGGTCGTTACGTCCTTTCTGCGATTTGGGCTGATTCCCATTGGTCACCAATTTGCATCGTGCCCCGCTGCCACGAGGTGTAATTTCTCACCACGGAAGGGAAACAAGCCCTACTGACCAGAGCCAACACTTTGGATTTTGAACTGATTTGTGTTAGCCAACCTGCAGCGACTCTTGAAAACGACTGTGGATTCAGAGCAGTAGCATGGCTGGTGGACGCACTGCAAGCTGGGCCACTGAGGGGGGACCAAACTCGCACTCGCATCCCAGAGAAGTTTGCCAGCGCACTTCGCAAAGTTTTTGAGAACTTCCTGAACGCCACCGATGCTGCGAAGTGTATCATACACCCCTGCACTCTTAGCTTGGGAGGAACAGGAGCACCTGAATTGCATGAACAAGTCAAACAAATCCTCACAGACCGTGGGGTGGCAGCATCGCGCATCGAGGAAAGGACCAAGATTGTCATTGAGAGAATAGGACGACAGCCACTTTCACGAGATTTCAGGTCCTCTGACTCTGACCCCTGGAAAGAACTGAAGCACTTGGCAAATTTTCTCTCTCCAAAACTCCAACTTGTCTTCCCCAGTGAAATGCAAGCGGCCACTGAGCGCAGACTCAATCAGGACAAGAGCTTCGGTAGCAAAAAGAACAAAGCCAAAGGGGACAAGGCCGTGAAAAAGCCAATCATGCTCAACGCTGAGGACGTGAGTGTTCCTGACGGAGTTTTCTGTGACTGTTCAGGACAAAGTTTGTCACAAATCTCCATAGGACATAGGACAAATGGGCCAGATGCGAGAGGGGTGGTGATTGTCCAAGCTGCAGGGGCGCTGCCCTACCTCAGAGGTGGGCCAACCACTTTCGAAGGTGCGTTGGCCATGATAGTAGTCAACCACCAAGACCCGTTGATCCATGACATTGGACAGCTCATCCGTTTCCCTGCCACATGTGAACGCACTGGAGAAGCAATCCTCCACCAATCCTCCTTGCAGCAAAGCTCATCCAACTGGGGAACATTGTAGGTTAGCAGGATCATACCCAAGCTGCACACCAAGGTAGACGAAGTTTCCAACCTTGTCTTGCGCACAGTGACTTATAGGGATGAATTGGAAGGACTGTCATGGAGTGCATTCATCTCAAGGCCGATCCGACATATCATAGATGCCATTCCAATTTTGCAGGTTCAAGACCACCACAACCCTATCTTGGATGTGTGGGACAGACAGTTCCTCAACGATCGCTCGGAAAGGTGTAAGCCAGCTGATGCCACCATCTTCATGGCCTGCTTTAGGTCAGAAGAAGCTGCAGCACCTACCGAACTCCCAGCTGTATACTACATTGAGCCCCGCACTGAGGATGGAAGAGCACCTGACCCGGCCTTCTGGGTAGTTTGGCTTAACAAAGCTGACAGACAGAGCGCAATTGCTGCCTCACAATCCCCACAGCAATGGAACACAGTAGTGAGATAATCAAAGCATCCGATGCGGCACAGGTCCACAGCCAGCACAAGCCAAATACTGTACCCCCTTTTTGCACAGTGACAAAATCATGACCTTCCATGCTGGACCCTTTCCACATGGTGCAAATAGAGCGGCACTCTTGAAGCTGTTCGGACAATGGCAATGGGCTGCGAGACCCCGTTAACCGAAATCCAGAGAGCCGAACGGGCTGGGAGTCATCTGGGAGGTTCAGGCTTCCTCCAGACCTGCCCATGAAGTCTACCAACTGCAACATGCTGATGTCTTGATCACCGCAGACGGGAAATGGAAAAAGAGGGGCGACAGAGGGCTTTGAACACTGCTCAAATGTCTATCACATTGAAATGTTGTAAGGCATAAACCACCAGCCCATGTCAGACATTTCAGGATTGGATTGAACATTTAAAACACCAGCAGTGTTGATTGGTTATTTTACCTAGAGGGCTTTTATCATTATCCATGAACTGGAATTCCAGTGTTTAACCAACACCTTGCGGGTTTTGAGCATCTAATCAACCACATTTAGCCATATTCTCCAAGTGTTTAAGCAGGTTTTCATCCACATTTCAGGATTATCCTAAAAGATCCGACTCTATAGACTTCCTGTTGCAATTTTTTTTTAAACCTGCCCAGGAGGGTGACGGCATTCCTCGACTTCCACAAGTTTCGCACCGACGATCTCAACGTGCCAAAAGTCTCCTGTTGGGGGTTCAAGAAGTCTTACCCGCTGCATCAGGCCATGAAGGAGGAGAACTGGCCGGTGGTGGCTGCTTTGATCAGCTTTGGGGCCAACCCAAAGCTGAAGCTTGGTGACCGACCTTGGTGACCTTGGATGAAGTGAACATCAGTGAAACATGAAACAAACTCATTGATGGTTTATTATATTTCGTGATAATAACTGAATATAACTGGGGATTATATAGGAATATATATAGGAATATGATGGAATCTTTATTCACAAGCCAGTAAAATTGGATGGGATAGTGGTATTTTTCATGGTTCAAGTCAACTAATCTGCAGTTTCGAATAAAAACGCATGGGGAGTTTCAAAGACACCTCAGCCGGGGACATGGAGTGGAGCTATAGAACCAACGTGATTATTTTTTTCAACGGAGAGTTTTAACCACAAAACATATAGGGACATAATTGACAAGAACATCTATAAATGGATGTTTTAAGGCGAACATCATCAAAGTAAATGGTTTCCAGCTAGGTCCATCTCACCTCATTTTGTTATTGGTAAAATCCCAATATGTCTATATACACACCCCCACAACCCGGGGGGTTCGCCATCGGTAACAGCGCACTTTGGTCGTCGCATCTTGACGTGCGCAAGCGTTGATGTGCTCATTTTACCTGTGTTTTGTGGTGCGAAATAGACGTTGCCGCGTTGTTGTTGGACCGCGTGTTTTTTTTGCACACTTTAGTCCCGAATTAGGTTGGTTTATTTTTTTTGTTTTTTTTCGTTGTGTGGTGATGACGCGACGTGAGTGACGTCTACGGGTTGGGGTTGGGGTGGGCCAACAGACTGTGATGTTTTTCATGAATGGACATAGCTATGATGGAAATCACATTTTTTCGTACAATGTGTGGCCCCCCACCTATGTTAGTTGGTTTATAAACCCCATGAATATTTTAGTTTTAAGGTTTAAGTATCACAAACATTCACAAACCATAGTTATTGGTGTTTTGCTCAACCAACTTAGGTATCGTTTGGGGGGGGCCACTTCGTTGCGAAGTGCGCTCAAAAGGTAATGTAGTGTATTAAATTGAGGAAATTGGGGAAAACCACTCTTTTCAAATCACTTGCTTATAATTTTTTCAGTTTTCCGGCACCTCACGCAAATCCAAGCATTTGATGATATTTGATGAGTTCGGGGATTATACTCCTATTCAGTTAGGGATGATCACAATCCATTAGTGGGTGAATCCCGTTCGCAAAAGGGACAACCCATAGTCTTGAAAACTGCTCATTGGGGAATCGTGTGGCTTGGTGCCATGATCAAAAGTTGGATTAGATTATTTTTATTTCCCACATTGGGGGTGGTCATACTATATACATCTATATACCGTTTTTATCATGTTTTTTCCAATTTCACAGTTGGATATAGCCTCCAGAGACCCTGGCAGGTAGGGGTTGGAAGATCAGTTTCCAATAAGCATGGTGTGAATTTCATATGTTTTTTCAGGGTCTAGAATTTACCAGAGGGTACCGGTTGAATGTGTTTTGAACATGACGGCACACATGGAATGGTCACATAGATCCCACCAAGGAAAGATAGCTGTGGCAAGATTGCACAAGACTATGTGAAACATGTGAAGGTGTCCCTGTCAGGAACTGTGTTTGGGGGCAGATGTGGGTGAGAGTCGGGTGCAGAATTGCGGCTTAGTGGATTTTAGTAGTACATATGCCATAAAATTGCACATGTTTTCAGTATTTTGCTGTTCAATTTTTTGAGACAACTCCAGTTCATGGTAACTCACCCCACACCTGCCACGGAAGTGGCACAAGCCCAAGCCATCATCCAATCATTATCTTCAGCTAGAGACTAGAGCAGAGCACCAGAGTGCGTGAACCTAGCCATCTAGCGAAGATAACCTCAGAAATTACATGACCCGTGCGAAACTATTAATTCACACCTGGTGACCAAGCCTGGCAAAGGAAATGCCGAAGAAAACAAAAACATATCAAAATTCAATTGTGATTGTGATCATGATCCATTGGTTGGTGGTTTTTTCAATATATTTCCCTAATGACAGGAGCGCTCTGTAACTTTCAGGTTTCAGTTGTGGTTCCAGCAACCAGTGATGATCATGATCCATAAATCTGGGTAATGGGAAATATTGTTGTTTTTTTGGGGAATCATCACCAAAATGGCCCAACATTTCAGGATAGTGAATTGTTATTTCATTTGCCCAGATCTTTTTTCGATATGTCCTTGCCAAAAAAGTGTTTTCTAAATGCCTAATTCAGTCTGAAAAACCTTGGCGTGCCAAGAGACTGACTGGTTTGTACAGCTGTGTTTGTGCAGTTTGAAGTTGTTTTCAACATTGTAAACAAACACGCCATCGAGGCCAGCGAATGTGTTGAACCAAGCAGTTTGCCGTGGGTTTAAACTGCATTTTTATGATATTTTACTGGGAATTTCACCAAGCAATAAATATATATATATATTATCGAATATTGAGCAATGAAACTGGTTGGTGGTTTTGTTTTTGTCAAATAAACATTTCCCAAAATTTCTATGATGATCCCAAAGGACTTTCATTGTGTCCTGACTTGTCTAATTGAAAAACGTCTTTGTTCGCTTGGATACAACGTCAATTCAAAACCATGAATTTGTTTGTGTGTTTAATATATGACATAATATCTTATAGTAATCACACTTGCATATAACTTATAACTTACCAAAGGTTATCAAGCAGTTCGTGTTGGTGTGAGGACCCTCCAAACACAGACTCTCAGTTTTTTTGTTTTTCGCTCGTCAGTTGGTGTTTATTTTATGGTTCCATCCCTACCATGATTTCTGTTCATCCAGCACCGGATCATCTAACACTGAGTCAAGTGCCATGATCAATTCACTTTGGTGAATTGTCCACAAAAAGAGCAGGTTTTCTTCATCCCGGTCATCAATGAATCAATCCGGCCATTTTCAAAAAGGGAACGAAAAAAATCCAATTGTGATCCCATTTTGAAATGCTGAAGGATGGCCGTCATGAAATATGGTCACAAACGTGCCATTTCATAAAGGATACCCGGCCGTTTCGAGTTTTGGTTGTCTGCGGGTCTGTCTGAGAATGGGAGAGGAATTCTCAGCCAGTTCTGATAGAGGGAACATGATACCCTCTGGTAATTTAACATAGCTATTGAAAATGACCATTTATAGTGGATTTCCCCATTAAAAATGGCCATTTTCCATAGTTATGTTAGTTTACCAGAGGGTAATTCATCAATCTTCATCATCAAATTCTCTGATAGATTGTGTTTTTTTCAAGAAAGCCATATGACTCAACTGATTGATCACTTGAAAAATGGCTAAAAGAAGATTTACAAATGCCTTTCAACCCAGGTGGACACGTAGAAACCAGTGATCTGGGGATGGATCTGGGGATGGTATGGGATGGTGATCCCCCAGTTAGGCCTCTCATATAGCCATGCCAATCTTGAGAAAGCGCGGAAGATGACCCAGGATGACCATGATCTAGGCATATCACCCATGACGGATCCATGGTGCTGGTATATATACTAACATAAAGGGGGTATATTGATGGTAAATGTTACCATATATAGCATACATGGATCCTATGGGTCATGGCATATCTAGTCTTGGCGATCGTGGCTTTGTTCAACATGAGCGCTGGGTTTTGGGTGGCAGTTCCGGTACCTGGTTTTGCTTAAGGGTAATCTGTTAAGGCCTCTTGAGCAAATCCATGGAATTATAGTTTATAGTGAATCTTTTACTGAACACTGGCATTCTGTAGCTGAAAGCCATGGCTGATGGTGTGAATGTCATTATAAGCCAGGCATGGATTTCATATGCAGTGTTTGATAGTTGTTGATTCATCAATCAGTAGTAGCAGGGTTTCCACATGTATATGACTTGTTATCCTGAACATGTGTTGGTTACAGTATCGCCTATAGCCATATCAGCGGGTAAGAAAATTGGTATATATTATATACTGTAGCCCATGATATCATATACATGTGATTTACCTCCTGTCCATCAGCAAGGCTTTTGGTGACGGTTCTTAATGTTTGTCTTTGACTGCCAAGACTTTCCTTTTGCTCCATCGAAACATCATATACTATCAAAGATGTCCTTTTCCGTTGAGGTGGTTGACTCACCTCCATTGAAAAACCCATAATTGGATTTGCTGAATTAATCTGCGTTAATCTACAGTTTTTGTTGGGGGGGTTCCTGTTCAGCAAATCCAAGACATGAACGCAACTGGCATGGCCAAGAAAGATCGTCAGTTTGTTTTCTTTAAAAGGACATCATTGATCGATTCCTTTGAGGATTTGACGGGTACGTTGTGATTCTTCGCGGCATGAAGCCGGTTAAGAAGAAAACGACGATTGGCATGTGATTCATGTGACCCGTGTTTTATTCTTGGAGAGCGGATGTTTAAAACACTGGTCATTTTAATGTGGTGCGCCCAATGACATGGTGAAGCATCCCGCATCCCACTTTTTTTTACGCGGCACAGTGCTTCAAATTTCGCTAGCTTGGCGACCGCCGGCAGGCGCCGATAATCGTGGCTAGGTGGCTGCTGAGCAATCCTCAGTACAGGCGTTCGCGAATTGTGTGGGATTGCCCGGCAGCCATAGGGGTGCGAGGTATGGTCACATTGCGTAAGTCGGCCCAGGGATCAAGGAAGCCCAGGGAGGTGACCTATACCATTTTCACATCTTTTGATTTCAATATGTCAACCCTGGATGAATGTTGACCCACCCAAAAAACCAGGGTTTAATCATCCGGGCTTGACATTCTTAGATCTTGGCAAATTATAACGATCTCACTGTTCTCCCCAACCCTGGAATCATGTTTAATGTGTGGCGAATCATCCCAAAATGGCCCAACATTTCAGGTTAGTGAATTATTATAATTTGCCCAGATTAGACTCTTTCTTACGTGTTTTTTGTTTCAAAAAAAAATGAGTGGAGAGACCGAGCGATCAAGCGAATCAAGCGCCGCTTGGTCCCGGCCCCTCTGCAGTGTGCGGAAAACGGCGACTGATGACTTTGAGGTCCAAGGGGAATACCCCCAATGGTAAGTTGGTTTATAACCTGCATGAACTACCCTCTGGTGAACTAACATAGCTATTGAAAATGGCCATAGAAATAGTGGATTTTCCCATGAAAAATGGTGGATCTTTCCATAGCAAAATGTTAGTTCACCAGAGGGTAGTTCGATATATCATAAACCATAGAATTCGCCTAACTGAAGCAAGTTAGCATGCTATAACATGCTATAACTTTGTTGTAAAACAAAGTATCGTGGCAGGCCCAGTTCGTCCATTTACCAGTGACGTTGGGGGTTGCCTAACAGTAGATCTGAGTAGCCATGAAAAACATCCATAAATTGGGGTATTCAAAAGCATATGTGAACTAACCAGCATACGTATACTCCAGTTAAGGTCTATTAAGCTAACTCACCCATATTCTCAAGCATATTCCAGTTTTCATTGGGATGTTAGCATATGTGAACTAACTGGAATAGTGATTGAGTGAATAGCGGTTGTTAGCCCGGGATGTTTTTTTTTGGGGCTACCTTCCATCAGGATGGGTTGCCTTGCCTTTGATGATTTTTGGGGCCTTTTGGGGTCTTAGATTTTCCACATTAAGAGTTAAAGTCACCCAGCAGAGGATCAACATCTCAACAAATTTCCAAATAAAGTGACAACAAGGCCAAAGACTTCAGTTTCCTTTCCCATAGTCGAGGCTATGGTGCATATCTATACATCTAGTATATATAATATATATATATACACATATTATGTCTAAATATATGAGCCAACTTAACTGGATGATTTGAAAACATAGAGCGTTGCATATCATGGCAGTCCGACCGATAAAATCGCTTCTTCACCATGTGGCTATGGCTGAAGCTTCTTGGATCCCGACTCTCACGATGCAAACCAAAACGATGTTTTGCTATGAATGATCTGGGTAAATTTCATCACGACCCCTCACCCTGTTCTCCCGAACCCTGGTTCATCATGGTTTAGTTTTTGGGGAATCATCCCCTTTGATTAGGCCCAACTCACTATTCAGGTGAGTGAATTACTATGGCCCCCAGAATGATGAACGAGTCTCAAGGGCATCCAGTGGATCCATTTTGGATCCACTGGATCCTGACTGATTGACGATGGTTGATCATCTATGTTTTTTTTTCCGGTTACTCTCTGGTTATGTCAAAGTAGCTATTGAAAATGACCATAGAAATAGTGGATCTTCCCATGAAAAATGGTGATTTTCCAGTTCGTTATGTAAACGTTTACCAGAGGGTAAAAGATTTAAAAGAGATTAGGATGGGCAGTTATCTGGTTGGTGGATTGGTTCACATGACTTGATTTTTTTCCATTTCATATATGGGATGTCATCCTTCCCATTGACTTTCATATTTTTCAGAGGGGTTGAAAGCACCGACCAGTTATCATTTGTGCAGTCTCAGATGTTTTTTTCTGTTTATTTATTAACTTGATAATAGATACAAACAAGTTGATAGATACCATGAATTTTGTTTATAGTACATAAATTGCTATTACTTGTACCATCCCCCAAGATAAGCATCGACCCTTGGAAAACCAGGTTTTTTTAGACAATTCTTTCCTCTTAAAAGTAGCGATTCTCAGGGTCAAAC